TAATCCCTACAGATATATATATATATATATATATGAAATTCTTGGTAGGCTTCAAAAATCTGGCACACACATAGTGTAATATGTTTATTTATATATACCGATGTTTCAAAGTATATGTGTTGTAAGAATAACAATAAAATTTATCTATTTATCTTCTTATAAAATATCTCTTTAAGGGTCGGCAAGAGTCACTGTGGAGATCTCTACCGAAAACGAATTTTTTATTGTCCAAAATTACAACTTTAAAATATTGAAAATCATAATGTAATTGCGATGTTCGTAATCAAGAGAATTATGCTTGCATCTAAAGAGTGATTTTTTGAAAAAAAAATATTGGGAAAAATGGAAATTCTTTTTAATATATATACAGGATGCGTCACCAAAATCTGGATAAATCGAACAATTTCTTTAAACAAAATATTTTTAATGAAAAATTAAATATTACAAAAAATCCTTTTACATGATACTTGGGGAATCCCTGTAGAGCACAATTATTCGATGTATCCCCCATTAGCTTGAATGACGGCCTCTCGGTCTGAAGCGTGCGCACGCACGCTGTAATGCAGCGCTGTCTATGCCGATACTAGCGGTCCTTAATGACGTCATATTAGGATGCCGAGACTTGTTTGACTCTTTCAACTTCACGTAGTAGAAGGGATTTAAATCTAGGAGGCCAGAATGGGAACCGAGGCGAGCAACTCGGCTTGTCCTATCTCAGAGAGCATCTGTATCTTTAATGTGTATGATTTATATCGAAGGTCCTCCTCGGCAATCGACGCATTGTTGACTCGCTTACATCAACAATTGATGCTAATTTTCGCAACGATTGCCCTGGGTCATCCGAAATCAGCGCCCTTTCAACGACTGCGAGAGTCCTCACGGTGTGTTCTTTCGAGTAACTCTTCTTCGCATACTGGAATCTCTGTTGGACTGTTCTAAAGCCGTATATTTCGCCACAACGTCATAAAACGTTGATCTACTCAAAGAATTGTGAATTATTTTCATTACTGAACGCCCAACGCGAAGGCCTTCGATAATCGCGGCTCTTCAATTATACTCCGTACTTGGTTTCAACATCGCGATCATTTTGAGAATATGACTGTTTACTAGAAGCATCAGGCTTTCTCGGATGTCAACAATAATCTCTGGCGGAGGCACAATATAGCGGAAAATTTAAATTGAAATTTGTCCAGATTTTTGTGACGCATCCTGTATATATATCTCACATTATGATTTACATCATAATGTAGTTGGAGTGCAGATAAGTTTATTTATTATAATATTTTAAAATCCAAATTGTAAACTCTAGCTCTTTAGCAGACTTTGCAATTTCATAAAGCCAAAAAAGGTCTTATGATAAAACATTGCTTCTACGAAACAAAATATAGTTCAACTTGATTATATCTACACCGTAAGTAAAGTGCAAATTATTTTATTTATTATAATATTTTTTAAAAATAAAATTGCAAAATTCGACTCTTCAGGCTTCGTAGTTTCGTAAAACATGAGCCAAAACGTTTTATTGTGAAATATTTCTTCTACGAAAATATGATAGAGTACTGATATGTATCTGCACTCATCACAAATGAGGTATAAATAAATTGCCTCATCACTTCTGTCGACTCTTAATCAAATTAATATTTGTATTAATTAAATATTGGCTAAATATATATCTCACAAAAGTGAATTTTTTAATGATTAAGTACAAATGTACATCTTTTTGAGATATGGAATACGTAATAATATTGTTATATCTTCTTGGGAAATTACTTTGAATTCATTTACGTATTCCAAAATATAGAAAAAGTTATATATTTTGTTTTATTAATAATCCTTATAGTTAATTATGTATGCTTAGCATGTCATTCTATTTAGTTAGCTTTCTTTCTTTTGGCTGAGTTCTGAATACCTCTTATTGTTAGTATCTTAATTAAGTGCAAATTGATTTCAGCGATTAACAGGAGGTTCTGCTTTCTGCTGAACTATTTTATCGCTAGAAATATCATATTTTTTTACTTTCTTGCATTCAGTTTTTTTTTTTTTTTTTTTTTTTTTTTTTTTTTTTTTTTTTTTTTCTAAAAATTTTTTTTTTTTTTTTTTTTTTTTTTTTTTTTTTTTTTTTTTTTACGTCGGTATTTTAATGTATAACGTAATCAATCTGGGATCTGTGTTCAATTAGTTTGGACTGTTCGATTAAAAGAAAGATATTTGAAAATTCAAGCATCCATGGATCCAAAGATTCGTGAATGCATGTTAAAGCAAGTTAGACCTGTGAAGCAGAAGTCCCATGAACGCTTGTATTGTTGGTTCCGATGGTGAAAATCAGATTGCTCTAGCTTTGATTTTTCCGGCCTCAGTCAGGGGAGAGTATGTGAGCTACTCATTATTGGGTTGAGTGTTTGTGTTGGTTTACTAACGGAATGGTGCGGGGGCGTGTAGCGGGGGATTCTGTTGCAGATGTTGGACCGGCCAGTGTTATGGTAGGAAATATTGTCCAAGGCAACCGATTGGCTTCTGCCCAGGGACGAGATATGGGTGTCTTAGATGAAGATAGTGATAATGCTAAAAAGGTTCGTAAGTTCAATGAAACTTAATAAAAGCCCACATACGTAGGCAGAAAAAGTGACTTCAATATTTATTTATTATATTATTATTCTTTTAGTACCAATTCATTTCCGAAATTCTACGGTGGCGCGCTGTCAGTACTTCGGATCATGTGATATTTACGTCGTTAAACGCGAAGGGCACCGTGGCTACCTCATTGTCCTGCTCGCAGTTGCATAAGAAAGCTGAGAGGATTGGGAATCTACTCTTGGATCGAGGGAGGATTAATACTGGAGATCATGTAGCACTTATTTTCCCACCTGGTACTGATCTAATATGCGCGTTTTATGGCTGTTTATATGTTGGCGCTGTGCCGGTAACCATCAGGCCACCTCATCCTCAAAATCTCCAAACGACCTTGCCGACTGTTCGCATGATTGTGGACGTCAGTAAATCTGTCCTCGTGTTGACTAATCAGAATCTACTCAAATTATTAAAGACAAAGGTAATTAAAAATGTTCGATTATAATATCCATTAGAATGTAACGAAGGTATACATTTTGATTGATTGGTGTTGTTGCTATGCATAGGAAGCAAACAACGTGGTTGACGTGAAGAGTTGGCCAATGATCTTAGATATGGATGACATGCCAAAGAAGAAACTACCGGTAATGTATCGAGCACCGACCGCGGAAATGCTGGCCTATCTCGACTTCAGTGTTTCGACAACGGGCATGCTCGCTGGTATCAAGATGTCTCATGCAGCAGTTACTTCGTTGTGTCGTGCCATGAAGCTAGCGTGTGAACTCTATCCTTCCAGACACATCGCTCTCTGCCTGGATCCATACTCGGGTCTTGGTTTTGCCTTATGGTGTCTCAGCAGTATATATAGTGGACATCATTCTATACTTATACCACCATCGGAGGCAAGTACCACAATTCTTATGCTCATTAAAAAACTTTAATAATAATAAATGAAAATCGACTAATGAAGATATTTAATTTAATCATTTTGTTATCATTGCCAGGTGGAAGCCAATCCTGCACTTTGGTTGTCGGCAGTCAGTCAATCTAGAGTAAGAGATACTTTTTGCTCGTACGGTGTTATGGAGCTGTGCACGAAGGGACTCGGTTCCTCGGTACACACGCTCAAGGCACGAGGCGTCAGTCTGGCATGTGTTAGAACATGTGTCGTCGTCGCCGAGGAAAGACCACGGATCGCATTAACAACGAGTTTTAGTAAACTATTCTCCGCACTCGGTCTGAGTCCGCGCGCAGTCTCCACCTCATTTGGCTGTAGAGTAAACACTGCCATTTGCTTACAGGTAAAATTGATTGTCGAGATTAAGCATTTATATATGGATTTTGAAGACCTATTTTTATATATTATTACTTTTTTGATCCTATTTTTTACTAGGGAGCGTCCAGTCCGGAGCCCTCGACAGTCTATGTAGACCTTCGTGCATTGCGTAATGATCGAGTGTCTTTGGTAGAACGAGGCAGTCCACATTCTCTGTGCTTGATGGAATCGGGCAAATTACTGCCTGGAGTAAAAGTAATCATCGCGAATCCTGAAACCAAAGGTCAATGTGGTGACTCGCATCTAGGTGAAATCTGGGTACAATCATCGCACAACGCGAGCGGTTATTTTACAATCTATGGCGATGAGAGCGATTACGCTGATCATTTTAACGCGCGACTAGTTACTGGCAATACAAGCGAAGTCTATGCGCGAACTGGCTATCTTGGTTTCTTAAGAAGGACCGAGAGTATCCAGCAGTCAGTGATTAGCGACGTACCCGGTGATACTAATGTGCCCGAGGCTGATCTCATTCCAAGCGATCCGGAACTTCATGATGCCGTATTCGTCGTTGGCGCTCTCGACGAGGCTATCCTACTACGAGGTATGCGCTATCATCCAATAGACATCGAAAACAGTGTCATGCGGTGTCACAAGAAAATCGCAGAATGGTAAGTTCTTTTGAAGTCTAATTTCAATATTTTAAATATTTTTTAATCTTTTGATAATTTGTAATACTAGTCGTATACTTTTGCGAATCTATATTCTTTTATTCTTAATTTTTGTATTGGCGATTCGCTACTAATAATCTGTTATATTATCGTATTTTTTTTCAGCGCTGTGTTCACATGGACCAATCTGCTAGTGGTAGTGGTAGAATTGGACGGTAGTGAAAGCGAAGCCCTCGATCTTGTAGCTCTGGTGACGAGTGCTGTGCTCGAGGAACACCATTTAGTAGTTGGCGTAGTAGTTGTAGTGGACCCCGGTGTGGTACCCATTAATTCGCGCGGTGAGAAGCAACGGATGCATTTGCGTGATGGCTTTCTCGCGGACCAGCTCGATCCTATCTACGTGGCGTATAATATGTAAATGGATGCGAGAAAATGTTCTCACTTTCTATGTATTCCGCCCTCCTTTCCGCCGACAATTCTTATCCGATATATATTGAGGCTGCAGTGGAACTTCATTCACGAGGATGATTTGCTCCAATAATGATGGAACGAGCAACTTTAGCAAGAATTTTAATTCTCATTTGCTTTATTTGATTACAATAATTTACAAAAAGTTTCTCTTTTATTATTTTGAACTAGTCAAAATGTTTCTTATAGATTTTTGGATGCTGAAAATAATGCCACAAGTCAAAATATTCCACATGCTTATTTTGAAAAAATGACTCGATATAATTATTCCATTTTGATATGTTGTAGTTTTTATGATTCTGAATAAATATATCCATTGGCACACTTATATAAAATCAAGAGATAAAGAAATATAGAACTCGTGAACATAGAATCTAAGTATCTGCCATATCTCTTTGAGATTTGATGTTCTCTTTTATATAATTTAATTTAGATTACATACGCATATCTTCCTGACTGTTGAGTGCTGCGCACATATATATTTATGTAGAGTATTTTTATTCATGTGTGATTTTATAAATGTGGATGTATTCATGAAGTCTGATTTTGTGTATTTATATAGAATTGGGCCTAATTTGCATAAGTCAAAAAATATATAAATTATCATAGGCCTTAAAAAATATTTTGAAGGGACACCGAGAAATATTGAGGGAAAACACAATAATATTCATTTTTTGCGGTGTTCCTGATAAAAATAATTTGCTGAAATAACTAAAATCTATCATATTAATGAAGATTTTAATGATTTCGATTTATTTCCATCAATGCAAAGAAGTGAATTGTTGTTTAGTTGACTTCTTCAGAGGGCTGTAATGCACAAGATATTTTACAGGAAAAAAGCTTTCGTATCTTTTCTCAGGTTTCTATTTGGTATATGAGACGCTAGGGATTCCTTCCAAGGGCATGTTCGGATTCCTGGGTATTCCCCGGGTATCCTTATTTAACAAATATTAATTATTTATAATTTAATTATTTATAAAATTTTCAAAATCTCCATTTTGATGTAACGTGACTCGATTAATTGTGTCGTTTTATACTTCGCTATAGCATATCTCTTTAACTACAATTACGAAAGCAGAATGTAGTTGGGTCATTATTTCTTCTTCAATTTCTATTAGATTCTTATAAACTATAAATAAAAAGACTGTAACAGTGAAATACAAACGACATAATTGATCAAGTCGTTATATGCATACAACAGAATGGAAAATATCTTGAAAACTTGTTATAAATAATGTTATAAATAATGTTATAAGTAATAATGTTACAAACGTATAAACAATTTTAAAAAATGGTTTATTAATTAACTATTTCGGATTAAACAAAAGGAACGAATCAAAATAGTCAATTTTGTTCGTGAGTGGATAAATTTAAAATCTATGCAGTTATCAAGGGATTAATGGATCCATAAATAAAACCACGTTCGATCAGTAAACTGCATCCCATTAAAAAGAAAATGTTGCAACCTTTTTTAAGCCCTGAATGTGCACGTTTAAAAAAAAATTATATATATATAAGTACTGAAAAGTATCAGACTTTATGAACATATTCAAGATTTTTTACTAACGTAGAAAAAATTCTTTCGAAATTCCCGGACTTTCCAGGGCTGCAGTCCGATTCACGCCCAATTTTCACGATGATTACAGATTATGGGCCTCGATAATGATCGGTCCGATTCATTATTGAGACCCATAATCTGTATATCATACTTATTAATAATGTATATATATATA